CAAAGCTTTCAGTCTGTGCAGAATCAGTTAATAGCAAGGATAGTTGCACGGCTAATTGAGCTGTCCAGCTACCGGCAGCTACTGTTTGCAGTAGTTAGTGGCTAAAGTAACTGGTAACTAACCTTGTAAATCACATCGAACCAGAGCAACCAGAGGACATCAGAGGGAAAACCGGAAAATATTTCTTCATATAATATGATCCACTTTCACCAAAATCAGTGAATAAAGTTGTATTTCCGCACAGCAATCAGTGAAGCCTATAGTCTCGCATAGCCAGCCCTGTCTCCAAATCGATTCAGCGAGTTCCTGGACTTTTGGAGGGCTTCTGGGAAGCTGGCCAATCAGAAGAAAGTGGGCTTTTAGGGAGGGAGGTCTTAAAGCTAAGCGATGAACAGAGGGTGAATGAAGGTACTGTAGCAGTGGACAGTATAAGAAACAAAATGTGTTTTTTTGAATTTTAAATATAGTAGAAACCCAAAATAAAAGTATGAGCCTGAAAATGGGCATAATATGGGACCTTTGAGGCCCTTATCATGTCAGTTTATACATTATACGTTCGTGTATATTACCAAACAAACTGATGAAATTGCAACAAACTGATTGCTGCACCGTGAATCTGGCCTACACGGCCACCCCGATGCACAGTAGTAGAGAAAGTGCGTCACTGCCAACTCCCCCACACCAAGTGATCAAGTGATGTTGTTCTGCATCTGACATCTCCTCTCTCGGGGGAGGCAGGCCCCGTTTTCCATGCCCGCAGGTTCCAGCTCTGGTGTGGGATTCCCAAGGCCCCAGGAAAACACAGTTTACAACATTCCCACAGTGGTGGCCACCAAATGACTCTCTTCCTCTTCTCCCCTCTTCTGTTTGACTAGGGTTTCTTTTTGCCCGTGTTGTTGTGAGGCAGCGGTTTGGGAAGCTGCCCAACAGTTCCTGGTTCATTTTGTGAGGGGGGCGAGAAGAAGGAAGAAGGAGGAGACCCACAGTCCCTCCAACCCTACCATCCACGACAGCTCCACAGCTTTGTTGCCCATCCAAGACACCCCCTCCCACTCCTAACCACAGGATCTTCTCAGTGGCGGAAAATCCTTCCCATGAGCGGGCCGGCTCTACGGAAGTAATTAAACATGGGTAGTTTGGTGTAATGGACATTGTCATGCTTCCATTAACTGATCCCCAGACTCACAAACTCAGATACACAGCATAATGTCAGTACTGATGAAGAAAAAAGACTCTTTATTCCTAAATGTTCTGTTTTGACATGTAATAGAGCAACAATCAGTCAGTTTTTCATGTTCTTTTCAGTTCATCATGGGAGGACACGCTCCTCCCATCTGTGTATTTTGCTGGTGGAGAAGCAGACAGTCTTGTCAGTGTTTAGATCTTTAGATACAACAGTGAAGACTGACATAAATGAAATAATAGAATAACATTGAACTAGCAGCTTATTTTTTTAAATAACAAGACCAAGAGTCTACAGTCATTCTAGCGGTTCTGTGAGTGAGTCAGTGCACAGTGGTGTTTAGATCCATCAACATGTAAGCATGTTCACAGTGACAATGCTAACATGCCTATGTCTAGCAGGTATAATATTTCCAATGCTAAACCATCTTAGTTTAGCATGTTAACATGCTAACAATAGCTGATTAGAACTAAATTTGAAGTAGCTGATCGAGGCTAATGGTAATGTCATTATTTTAGCAGGTATTTGGTCCTAAACCAAAGTATTGGACAAAGTGAGATTTTGATGTGTTGACAGCTCAAGATGAAAAGAGGATCACCATACTTGTTATAATTTATCTTGGGGTACATGAACATCTATTCCAAATTTGTGCTAGCAAGCTAGCATGACTAAAACTACACTTTAGAAACATCAAATATCTCAGTGTCCTGTTACATGTGCAGCTGCTTCGGTGTTAAACCAGCACAATTTTGAAGTTCATCAAACTCTGATTCCTGTGAACATTTTCCTTCTTATAATGAGCTGATGATGCTTCATAAAGCCTAATTAGCATTACCTAAAGTGAAGAACAGAACCAGACAATCATAATGGATCTATTTTCCACACCAGGCGCACAGTCCACTAGCTCATTTCCCATCATCAGTGCTAATGAGTGAATATGGATAATATCAGCTTAATCCAATATGCCATTTCTTTGTCCAAGACACCCCCTTAAAGTTTACCCTGAATTCAACTTTCCTTTTCAGTATACACACAGCGTCATTGTTCTTGAAAGTTGAACCATACAGAAAAACTGTAGTACACACGCAATAATGAAACATCTCTCAAATGAGAGGGAACTAATTAAGCCAAGTTACAGACTGTGACAGTAATTACAGAAGCAATCACTTTACATCCTTCCTGCCCTTGCCACATTTCATGACTGCCGGCATCTTTGGAAAAAAGTCAAATTAAGACTCATAAAGCCCCTCTCAGGTTTTTAATTAAAACACACTTTTATGAGTTAAGATTCTTTCAATATTTCCAACCATATACTCCTTAATTATATCAATAAAGCTGAAGGAATTCCCTGTGTGTGTGTTAAGCTAGAGCACTGATTGAGTGGTTTATAGAGTAAGACGTGGCCTTAATGGAGGAAAAGTGCTGCAGTTGTAATGCACATGTGCTGGGTTACAGTATGACAAAAAAATGAAAAAAGATCAATATTTTCAGACTCCATCCACACCCAGGCTTTCCTGTTCAACTGATCTGACGTGAGCTCAAATGGAAAAGGCTGCTTTTCTTGGACTGTCATACAACAAACTCAGTTTCATGTCATCTCCATGACTGACGTGAAACTGCTTTATGTTTGGAGCTTGAACTCAAAATAGTTCTTGAATCACACTGGGTCAGAATACCTGTGTCTGTGTGTGTGTGTGTGTGTGTGTGTGTGTGTGTGTGTGTGTGTGTGTGTGTGTGTGTGTGTGTGTCTGTGTGTGTGTGGCAGCAGTAAACACGCAGTGATGTGGTCATTGGATGAAACTAAGAGTTCCGGAAAGCCTGAGGAATGAGATCATTGAAATGAAAGCGCTGGTAACAGGCTACTCGCCAGCGCAAGTGCAGGACAGCAGGCCATCTGATAAAGAGGCAGACACAAAGTGATTTTGGTTGGACTACTTAACAACTTACAGGTGAGTTTAAATCTAAACAAACATGCATTTTAGTGTCTCTCGGTTTAACCCTAACTCAAACTATATTTGCTAAGCAAACACCATTAACATATGCATACACACACGCAAATACACACATAAACAGTATTTTATATGAAAACACCAAATCCATGGAAACAACCTTTAATCCACGTCTAAAAGCTGTGGTCGCCTCATGAAGCGAGCTGCACTGCCTTTAACATCCCTTTGCATGCTGGTCCCCAGTTGAAGCGGAACACTGCGGTGATATTAGCAGAGGCTGTTGAGATTTTGATTGCAGTTTGCGGTGCAAATAAACTTAGGAATGAACAACAACATTCAGCTTTTCCAGGCTCAGGAAATAAGAAATAAATCGTTTACCATCTCTGTTATTTTTTGTTGCAAAGCACGACCAAAGAAAGTCTCTTTAGTGTTTAAATGCTTTTAATGCTGATCATGATTTGAGGTTCTAGTCACTAATAAAATATAATTTCCTGATGTTTAATATTTTGACTTCAAACGAGTCCGTGAAAGGGCACCTTCTGTGCTTTAAAATGTGCAATGTGTTTTCATCTTGTTCTATCATTTTTTCCCCCAATAAGCTTGGGCTTACTTCTGAATATCACATAGGAAATAAACTCTTATGAGAATTCTCTCTAATAACTCTTTAATAAGTCTGTCTTAGTGAAACATAAGAGAGGGGCTTCCTAAATAAAACGTAACATAAAACGAGTTTAACTTGAAAGAGAAGTCCCTCGCAATGGAAACTACCCACAGGCAGATAGTGGTTTAACCAAACTGTCCAATCCTCTGCTTCACTCTGCACTGGTGCAAAGAGGCCTGTTCTGTGTGTGTGTGTTCTGTTAATGAAAGACCTCGATGATTTCTGAAAGGATGAGGCTCTTGAGGACACACGCTGAGGTCTACGGCTGAATCTTCTGTAGCAAATTCAGAGGAGGACGACAGAGGATAGACGGAGTGAAACGGAAAGAAAAAAAACGAAGAGGCAAAGGAGAGAACGAGAGACAAGGGCAAAGACGGGAAAGAAAGGCAAAGGGAAGGAGTGATTACTGGGAGACATCGAGATATCTGCCATGCTTGAAAGGAAGACAGTGCCATCTAGAGACCTCATGTGACAGTTGTGCCTTTTTGTGCACACGCATGCTCACAGCATGCTTTTTGTTAATTAATTGTCATTTAAAAAAAATGAATGATTAAGTCTCTTAATGTAACATTCCAATGAGAGCCTAAATGCTGTTTCAGAGGCTTTTTCTTAAAAAAGAATAATTCTCTGGAACATGTTTGCACAATATATTTCATTCCACCCATGCATTTTTTAGAAAGAAACCCAGTCCATCTTCTTGAGTCTTTACGAGAACTTTTTGGATCGAGATCCCTCTTCTCCCTCGGCCCCTGCGCTCCCTGCTGCTTCCACTCGGGGTTCCCATGCTCTGCATTTTCCACGGGGCCAGTTGGGTTTACACCAAATTGTGGTTTTCTCAAACTTCATGACATCTTGGCTCATTTATCTGCTTCACAACAATAACAAATGTCCCTCTCCAGAGCTCTATCACCCTGTATTACTTTCTCTGGGAGATGTCATGAGTCACAAGACAACAGTGAGAATTAGACAACAACAAGGCTGCAGGCATATGAGAAGAGACAGATAGACTTCAATTTAGTGTGCAACACATTGGGAGTGTCCAACAAGCCTCCATATCAGCTAGGTTAAAAAAAACATACTGTATGAGCCCATGAGGCCATGCTACTTGTTCAGTTCCCACTGTATAAAGATTGATTTAGATGTGTACGGACACATTTTTGGAAACAGGAAAGAAACACTCTGGTAGGATTTAATCCTAGACCCAAAGGCAGATTACATTCAATCCAATTTTATTTATAGAGTGGTAACATGTGGCTCCAGTGACAGCAAACAATCACTTATCTACCTCTGGGTATCAGAGGTGGAAGGTAACTAAGTAAATTTACTCAAGTACAAATTCGGGTATTTCCATCATATTCAACTTTATACTTCTATTTAACTACATTTGTCTGACAGCTTTATTAACAAATTACTTTGCAGATTACAATTTTTTTCATACCCTTCCTATCTAGCAAAAACCATGTACCTCGAAATTTGGTAATTCTGAATTTGACTCTGTATGGAAGGATGAAGCGTTACTTTATGAGTCGAACCATCGAAAACCCTGCTTGGATAAGCTGGGAGAATGCATTGTCACAAAGAAAAGAGTATGATGCAACATTAATGAAGCAGTAATATTAATCCAAAAACATCATATATAATACTTAAACACTGACAGTACTTTTACTTTTAATACTTTAGATCAATGTTGCTGATAAAACTTCTTCCACCACTGCTAGGTATGAACCTGTAAAAATAATACATAATGGGGGAATTTCCCTCAAGAGCTGATGAACGAATAGTAAGCTGAAGCTTTGCTGGATCAAAAGCCCTGTGGGTTGTGTTGCCCTGGTGTTGACAGAGGGGTGATTTTCTTTGACTAGATTCAACCAAACCTAAACTCCAGAGATTCTGTCCTCGAAATTGGCTCAGTACTTTTGGACTAGAGCAGATCTTGGAAGGGATTGTGAGGAAGGAAGAAGGGATAATTCTCTCATGGTCACTGAAGGAGATGGCTAACAGAACAGGAAGCACAGAAAGTGATCTTACTTTTAAAGAATTGCATGGCTTTCTGATGGTGAGGCCCTCATGTGTAGTTTTAGATAATAAAAAAACATACAGGAGAGAATATAGAATGATTGTACATTTACTGTATGCAAATAAATATGAGATATACAAAGCAAAACGCACCAACAGTGACCAGTAAAAATGTTTGAGAAACAAAGCAAAGCTGTGCAACAGACATGCATAGTAGACAATAGGTACAACAGGCTCACAGAGAAGGCTTTCTGGGTAATTTCTATTCAGCATAAATGCATTTTACTCAAAGAATGTGGTGTGTTAAAAATAAAAGCTTTTCTCCTGCTACCAGTGTTTCTGTTAAGATCCAGGATGTCAGATTGCTCATTTTAAGCTTTTGTTAATTGTTACTTGTAAAACATTTCTGGTCTGATCAATCTTTGCGGCCATTTTCCAAAACTCAATGTTAAGGCATATGGCAAAAAAAGACAAAGAAAGAAAAAAGATTCCATCACGACCCGGCACCGAATTTAAGTGCATCACGGCAGTGTAAGATGTGTGCTAACCCACTGTCCAGCCCTGATATTGATAGCCATATTAAAGTGCTTTATGCATCAAAAGAAGCAGAATAATTGATGACTTATAATGTAAGTGATACAGTACACAGTATAAACTTAACAATACTGGCATGCAGCACATTTTGCCATTCACTCTGGTTGAGAGTTGGTAAAAGGCCAAAAATCCAAGTTTACATAAAACAGAGAAATTAACTATTCTAAGAGCTGGATCTGTGTAATGGTCCTCTGCCTTGGAACAGGATATTTAATACATGGCGTGTTTAAGTCATTGCTTCAAACCAAATGACATTCTCACTATGATTGTTAAGCTGCAAAAGAGCTACCAGATTTGGGAAGTCACAAGGCAAACTTTTAGGATACACATATAGTTTCCACAAGTCAGGACATGCAAAGGCTTCTCTGATAACTTTAGAAGCATTTCAATAAATTATTACAGTAATTGGAAGATATTACATTACTGTTAACTTCAAAATGTTTGAAAAATAATATAAGTAACTGTTTATTATAAGAAAATAATAAGCAATTAGCAAATTGGGTTCACGAAAGGCTCTATCCTGGGGGATGAGATTTTCTAAGGTTTGGGTGGGATGAGCTCAGTGGAAGGAGAGAAGGTGGATGGATGGCTGTCATTGTTGGTGAAGCAGGAAGCTCTTGATGGGTTGTGGTAACGGTAACAACGGTATATGGTTCAGACGATTTTTGCCCATCACTCTGCGGATCCTGATGCGACATAGATGTGTCAGCCTACGAGGGGATCCTGAGGAGAGAAAAAGGCAAAGGCGGATCTCCTGAGCAGCTGCAGCAGAACCATATTACAGATGCAGGTACACCATGAGAACAGGGGAGGGCCACTTTTTTCATATCATCACTCAATGATAGCTCAGTTAGTCAGCTCCTCCCTTTTGTTGTCTGAGCTGTCAACAAATGGTGATACATAATGTCTTTTAAGTGTAACTCTAACCTGCCTATGGATTGTAAACGCAGTAATGTTCCAAATAGGGAAATCAGATTTATTAAGAACATTTATGAGTTGAAATCCTTGGACCAAATGGCAATAAACTGTCAATGTGCCATATGGTCTTTTTTCACAGCAGACCCTTTGACTTGTCACAGGTGTTAATAATAAGATTAGCAATGGCTCCGTTCTATTCTAGTGCCCCAGTAATCATGACAGTGTGACAGTGAGTCAGCAGGCCCAATAGCAGGACCCTGAACCAAAGCAACTAAATGGAATTTAGTCGTTCATTTTACTTTTTACACCTTTTCCTACTGTGTCAGATCAAATGCAGAGTGGCCCACTGATGAAGCGGGGTAAAAAAACAACAACAAAGAAGTGGGGCACTGTTGGCCGGGATCAACCTGTCGCATAGGCAATCAAGGCAACTGCCTATGGGGCCCTAATTCAGTCACGTGACATGCGGCTCACACCGGACTCCCTCGTACAGACACTGCAAAACCCATTAAATTTTATTGGGATCACCTCTCAACTCAATAAAAAGATCGATATGTATCCATATCTATCTTTAAAACGCAGCCCGGGCTTGTCTCCTCGTTAGTGTGCATCCAGTAGCACAACAACCATCCAGCATTTTGGCAATGCAAAAGTAACAAACTCAAAGTAACAGTGTATCGCTCGCGGGTAGCAGAAAATAACGTCTTTTTTGCCCTGAAAGAAGCGTTTTCCTCAGGTGAAAACTATGATTTGCAAAACCTTTTTAATTTTTGAGTATATTTTGTTTTAAGTTTAAGTGTATATATTTATTGGAATTCCATATACTACCTTGTGATATCATTTTTTTTGTAACAAATGAGAAATTATTAGGTGGGAATGAGGTAACCACAACCAACTGACAACGAAACCCCCCAACAACCCATTCATCTGATAACTAAAAATCAACTACAAAACATTACTGTTTCTTTAGAAATTACTTCAGCTTGTGAACAGCAATCAGCCTTGAACAGCGCCCACAGGGATTTTTACTGAACTACCTCCTGACTTTATTAGTTAATAAAATGTCGGTCCTCACTGATGTCTGTATATTCACATATTTTACTCACTCCTCGCCTCCAGGAAGACCTTGAGCGCCTCCGGATCCACCTTCCTCCGATTGGGAGCCTCCAGCTCTGACTCGTCCCAGGGCACGAGGGCCGGGTTGGCTCCGTGGTCCAGCAGCAGGTGGACGAAGGCCACCTCACATCCATGTCGCAGCACAGCATCCAGCAGGCAGGAGGCCAGGCCGCGGGTCAGAGCCTCTTGGCAGACGGGCCCCGTGTAGTTGAAATCAGGCTGAGCACCGGCCTGGAGCAGCAGTCGGAAACAGTGGAGGTGGTGGTAGGCAGCGCTGATGTAGAGAGGACAAACCACCAGAGTGTTGAGGGTGCGGGCACTCAAGAGGAGCCGGGGACCCAGTTGGTGGTCCATGTCTACATCAGCATTGAACCTGGACAGAGGGAGCCATGGACACAGTTTAAAGAGAGAAAAAGTGCGCAAACAATTAATGTGTCTAGTTTTAAAAAGTGGGCAATTTGTTGCTTTTCAGTCTGTTCAGAATGTTTGTTTTGTCAAATATTCATCAATGTGACTACTGTCCCACATGGCCTGCTGTTGTTGACTGCTGGGACCCTAAGATTGAAAAGATTATTTTTTGTGGATTCTGGGAGAGATGAAAGAAGCTGTTTTTTAAAGTCAGGAAATAACCAAAGTGCTGCCTGAAGCAGTGGAGCACACTGCAACACACAGTTGGCTGTAGATCAGAATGCTGACCCCTAGACAACCCACCGCACAAACAAAACATGAAAGATGACTGAAAGATCGACTGCCACCAGTTTTCAGTAGTGGGGGAGGATATAAACCTACTCTTATTATCAGTGATACACATTCAACCCATATATGAGAAGTCAGAGAAATCTAATGTTTTGGGCTTAACACAGATCACGTTTCAGACTCTCCCAACCTCACCTGATGAGCTCCTGCAGTATGTCCAGCCTCCCCACCCGTGCAGCATGATACAGCGGGGTGCTGCGGTGGTGGCGACTTCCGTTTGGATCGGCTCCGGCTTCAAGGAGGATCCGGACGCAGTCCAG